ACGGTGACACTTTCACCATTTTGTAAAATATGTTCAATTAAAGATGTGATCTATCAGGAATAAAATGGTGGAATATCACAGATGTAGAAGGAATGTTAGGTCAGAGTGTAAAACACAATATGGATAAAGAGTACAGTACCTTTTCATTAAGGATGATGTAGTAAGATTTCCCCTGTCTACCAGGGGTTGTACATATTTCTTGTTTGGGCACATTATATTCCTTCTGCATGTCCTGATACTCTGCCTTCAGGAATACATAGATATCTGCCACTATTGCTTGAGGAATGTCACTTCCGCAAAATGACATGGCTCCTCCTGTTCCTTTCTGTATAAGTTGGGAAAATTTGCCAGGACGATTGCTAAAGCTGTCGGGCTCCAAGTATAGTACTCTATAATAAAGAGTGTAAAAATCCATTAGGGTGTTCGGAAAGGTACAGTCTTATTGGGATCCTTTACTCACTTATGAACCCCAAATCATCTATTGAACGTTTCAATTGTTCTAAATCTGTGTCTGTCCTCGGTGTCTTTTTCTGTCTAGGTGAATGAATGGCCAAACTGTAGCTGTTGGTAACAGTTGTATTTGGCCAAAATGCAAGTTTTGATACATCTTGGTCTCTGAAATGCATGTGTAATAAGATAAGTGTACATCATTATTAAACAAGAAAGTGAATTTTAAAAAGAAAGTCTATATTAAAAATTTATAATTCAAATCTGATTATGTTCCTTCGGATTTACATTATAGAGTCAACTGGGATAAAGCAAACAATACAAACTACACTAATCCGTGTCTGTTTTTACCAAATTACAAAATTTTCCAATGATCAAAGCATAAAAATTGATAATTTAAGATCACCCATTGTACTGTTTGAATGCTTTACTTTTTAAATATCTTATGCAATGCACTGGTCAAAGGACAAGTTCTAGTCTGGCAAGTGATTTCAGCCAGTCAGGTGTATATTGGTAAATATTTTTATGCAAAAAATTTTTTTTCAAGATGGCCACCGCTTTAAAAATGGCGGGAATTTTTTGCAAAAATATAAATCTTTCAATCACAAAGATAATTCGAAAAATAATGTTTTTAATAATATGACTTGTCGTTTTGACCAAAAAAGTGTACATATTGACATATGTCATTGTCTAGTTTAATGAACAATACAGAATTCTATTACCTTCCCAGACTAGATCAGTTGTCTTCCTTATTGACTCCCTGGTCTCCAGGCATTTGCTTTCCCTATGTAATAATAAAAAGGTACTATAATTATAATTACATGCTGTAGCGAAAAATCCAAAATGGATTGGAAATGGCCACCTTCACATTTACACATTTGCTTTCTCTATCTCTAGGGGGCAATAATAAGCCAAGTAACATGAACACTAATGAACCATATGTTCCTCATGATCTCATTTACAACATGTTGCAAAAGAAGAGAAATCTTGTCAGTTCAAATTTGGTGAATTTATGTTTTGGAAAGAAAGTTCCAAAAATTTTTTAGTATCCCAGATAATGCATTTATTAATATTCAGACATATTATAGAAACATATGAGCCAGGCCACAGTAAAAGGGGTCTTATCACACATTTTTTAAATATTTTAATTTTTTGTTTCTCTTAAACCACAAAGAGACCTTTCAAACGAGCCATGGTTCCTTGCAGATATAGACCAAAAAACAGATATGTATTTAGCACATTTTCCTCCTAATCTTGAGCACATTTTTGGCTTTGCAGCACAATTTTAATTTTTGTGATAAGACCAAGTTTCCTATGGCTCATATATTTATGAATTAAGAAGAAATATCTTGTCAGTTCAAAATCGGTGAATTTATGTTAATTTTGAAACAAAGTTACAAAAAATTTTTAATATCCCAGATAACCCATCCATTAATATTAAGACATAATTATAAAAACATATATTTATATATTAAACAGTAAAGTGATTTTGATTTATCCAAAAAACACCCTAAGTAAATACAAATTATACATTGAAATAAGTTTACATCAAAATAAAAAAGGCCAAACCTTTTATCAAAGAGAAAATGCATTACATTTAATATTTTACTCCCCTTCATGAGAAATCATGGAACAAGTAAAATTGTACCTCTGTAGCTGCGACATTTTGTTATGTAAATGGATCTCTTTATGTAACATTTGGATCAAGAGTTCCTCAAAAGTACATGTGTTTTTGCAATGGGAGAGGTTTTTTGAAAAATAATTATGATTTTGAAGATAGATTGTATATAAAACGAGTAAGATTTATACTTACAACTCTGCTGCCACTTGTTCTTTATTGTAAGAACTAGGAAGTCTTCTTGGTGTTTTTCTGGCCCTTTTCAACATTTAGGCAGCTTCTACTCGCCTCCAGAGTGGACATAAAATTTTATCAGTACACTGTACTTTTGGAATAGTTCCTCCCATATAGCTAAGAGCTTAGTACTTGTATGTAGAATAGAACTATCTGGAAAACTTTATAGAAGACTATAAAAGTACATTTAAATTATACCTTGAATCTGGAACATGGAACCCATCTTCTAAACATGTAAAGGAACACACTGTGTTTAGTCCAAGACAACAGTAGTGAAGTGAGACAAGCCCATATCCTACATCTTATCTAAATAATGTATTGACCCAGCTTCTAATGATGTTGTCAATAACTGGTCTTATACTGTTCTGCATCAACCTTAACTCCTCACACACTTTATTTTTATGTATGTTTAATTCCACCATAAAAGATGAGAACAATATAACATTAGATAAAGTTATTTAGGAAATAGCATATGAAAAAATAAGGATATAGAAAGCAAGCTACATCTTTTACATACATGGCCTATAAAATATATATGAGGACATTTACAGTGATTGCATTAAAACTTTGACCATGGTAATTCATTATCCTAATATACTCTAAAAATTTACTCTAAAAAAGGAACCCTTTCTTGTCCTAGGCTTTCACAAGTGAAAAGAAAGTGTAATATATTTAACTCTCCATCATTACATAAAGCACAAAGTCTAGATTTTGCAACATGGTCATACGCATTGAGGGGACATGTCCCAGTCAGGATTCTTATAAAAGTACAGTACATTTTGGGTAGCCCTAACCTGTACCTACCATATTGATGGTTTCACTGTATTATAATTACTTGTCTAAAACAAGATGCTTTTTATAAAGGAAAAGAATTTGTCAAAGGTTATAACAACGCAATAACTGAAAAAAAGAACAATTGTCTCTCCTATATGGGATATACTAAATGTACAGTAAAACCTGAGTTAGCGAACACATCTCTCTAGTGAACATCTACCAACAGTGAACATTTTTATGTGGCAAAACCTTTTTCTCCCATTGACTCTCATGTTAAAGTAAAATCCTATAGTGAACACCTACCTACTTTGAACAGTGAACACTTAATCTTGGCAAATTTAGTTGAATTAACCTGTCTCTAGTGAACACAAAAACCTGGCTACGGGCATGTGTTACATAGACATCAGTTAAAAAATGGAGGTCTAGTTGTACGATGTATATATCTCTCAGTATATTTAGGAATGTTGTTAAAATGATCGAAGATATATGTAATAGGTAATGACAACAAAGTTTTAAAACGTAATGAAAATGTAAAAATCAATAGAAATCCCCTGGAATTTTTCTGCTATGGGATCTGGTATGGGGGTTTGACTGATACGGGATCCAATACAGGATTTTAAAGCCTGTTACGGGAATAGCAATTGCAATATGAATAGTTACGTTCCCTTGGTGCAATGTAACACATCCCCATTAAGTTTGGGAATTAGCTGAATCACAATCAGCAGGGTCCACTATTCACTATTCAAGGCAGAAGTTCAAAATAAAAAAGAACATGATATTTATTTATATTATACTGTAAATAGCATGTAGGATTAATAGAAAATATTTTGTGTTGACAACTAAGTCACATTCAGATTAGACAGATTAATTTTACAACTAGAAAACGGCAACTCCACGGAGTAGCAAATCCCAACGAACAATATATCAATTACCAAAATTCCAATCAGTTGTACTCATTACTTTGGTTAGAAATGAAAAATTTAGATCTTAGAATTGAGAATTCCTGCAAGGCAGCCATTTTGAAATTTCCGAGTACAATTCTGAAAAAACAACACCATAATTGTGATCTACTCCTACTCCTACTCCTAATTGTAATCTACTAATTCCTTCAATTTGAGTATAATATAGTCATACTTTGAAGGGATCGAAAAGTATTGCGAAATTCCACATAAGGTTGCTATTTTGAATTTTACGAGGCCCGAATCAGAAAAAAGATACAATATTTGCAATCTACTATAGATTGCCTTACAAATTCCTGTTTTCCCGACCCCTGCTAGGCAGTCATTTTGAATTTTCTGAGGCACAAATCAGAAAAAATGACATATTTGTGATCTACGCTTAAATTCCTTCAATTTGAGTATAATGTAGCCATACTTTGAAGAGATCAGAAATCGAGGCCCGAATCAGAAAAACGATACAATATTTGTAATCTACTCTAAATTGCCTTTCATTTGAGTATAATAAAGATATACTTCAGATATACTTCCCGACCTCCCATACACAGCCCCTGGGGGAAAGAGTGAAAAACACGGATTATATGTAAAATATATAGATGTTGTGAATTTACTACCAAAATTTCAAACAATAATATGTATCACTTTGGTTTAAAATGTAATGTAACACATATTTATAAAATAAGATGTAGTAGAGCATTTAAAATGTAATGTAACACATATTTATAACATATTCTAGTTTTTTATATCTATAGTACTCAAATATCCGTTAAATCAATGACATCAAGGGTTACGCAATAAGATAAATGTAATAGGTAATAACAAAAAAGTTTTAAAACAGAATGAAAATGTAAAAAATCAATAGAAATCCCCTGGAATTTTTCTGATATGGGATCTGGTACCAATGGTACTACCTGGTACTAACAATGTTAGTACTTTAATTTTCAGAGTCTATGACTTCCATATTGGCATTTGTAAAGTTATTGACTATTGTTGTAATGTTAATTATGAAGTTGAATACCAAATTTTTCTACTACAAGTCTTCCATATTGGCATTTGTAAAGTTATTGACTATTGTTGCAATATTCATTTTCACGTTGAATACCAAATTTTTCTACTACAAGTCTTCCATATTGGCATGTGTAAAGTTATTGACTATTGTTGTAATGTTCATGTTCACGTTGAATACCAAATTTTTCTACTACAAGTCTGCCATATTGGCATTTGTAAAGTTATTGACTATTGTTGTTATGTTAATTATGAAGTTGAATACCAAATTTTTCTACTACAAGTCTTCCATATTGGCATTTGTAAAGTTATTGACTAATGTTGTAATGTTCATGTTCACGTTGAATACCAAATTTTTCTACTACAAGTCTTCCATATTGGCATTTGTAAAGTTATTGACTATTGTTGTAATGTTCATGTTCACGTTGAATACCAAATTTTTCTACTACAAGTCTTCCATATTGGCATTTGTAAAGTTATTGACTATTGTTGTAATGTTCATGTTCACGTTGAATACCAAATTTTTCTACTTCAAGTCATATTGTATGCCCATTGGGATTGTGCATGATCCAGCTGGTCAAACGCTCTCCTGATGCACCGCCCCATATATTCTGAATACATTACAAAAGAAAAACACAATGAATACAAACATAACTAGAAGTTTGACATTTAACGAGTTCAGACTCCAGATGACAGAGTATTTTTATCGCACCCTTTAATTTTCACAGTTTATTACTTCCAAGTCATATCCTATGTCCATTGGGATTGTGCTTCATCCATCTGGACAACCGCTCTCCCGATTCACCGCCCCATATATTCTGAATACATTACAAAATAAAAACACAATGAATACAAACATAACTAAAGTTTGACATTTAATGAGTTCAGACTCCAGATGACAGAGTATTTTTATCGCACCCTTTAATTTTCACAGTTTATTACTTCCAAGTCATATCCTATGTCCATTGGGATTGTGCTTCATCCATCTGGACAACCGCTCTCCCGATTCACCGCCCCATATATTCTGAATACATTACAAAATAAAAACACAATGAATACAAACATAACTAAAGTTTGACATTTAATTGTTTCAGACTCCAGATGACAGAGTATTTTTATCGCACCCTTGGGTGCTATATTGTATCAGTTTGCCGGGCAGGCAGATGAGTAGGCGGGTGGCGGGCGGATAGGTGTCCCGAATAATCTTGTCCATATGTTTCCAGCCAAACCGTTTGAGGGATTCATTTGAAATTTTCAGGGATGTTTCTACCTATGAAAGTTTAGAACTGAGGGAATCATTTGAGATTTTCAAGGATGTTTCTCTACCTATGAAAATGTAGAACTGATTAGTTTTTCGGCATTCTGGGTAAACGTTAAGGTGGCCATTATGGATTTTACATCCTAGAATCTTGTCTGTCAAGGCTTGTGTACAGGTTTCCAGCAAAACCAATTGTCGGATTCATTTGAAATTTTCAGGGATGTTTCTCAACCTATGAAAGGTCACAAGGTCACAAAAGGATGTCCTTAGAATCCTGTCAGGTTGATCTTTGTAGAATGGAGCGATTTTGTCACCTCTGATTTTTTTTTATCACTTGATGTGTGTTACACCCCCTTTCAAACCCACTGAGGCATAAATGTTTATCTCATCATTCTCGATTTGCTCTTGATCTTGAATGTAAAAAGAAGCTTCAATGACGTTCAATGACTAGTGGCTTAATAAATAATTAGGTTGGGATATGCATTTAGACCTTGCAAACCTCCTGATGCTGCACATATTAATTGCACTCTTCTACATTAATAAATAATATAAAATGTATCAACCCTCAACATGTAATTAAATGAGGCAGAAAAGTTTTTTGTTCTAGAGGTTTTTTAGAAGAGTGTAGGTTATCTTAAAATGTTTCTAGCTGTTTTATCAACCCAATAGCTCTGCCATTACATTTAACAAGTCATTGAAGCAAACATACTTTGTTGTTACTTAGGTAGCGTCCATTGTGTTGGAAATAAAATGAAAACTAAAATACCTTTCTGCAGATCATAGCACTAAAAAGTGCAGGCTCCAACTGCCATCCCAGCTTTTTATAAGTTCCATGTAGACTACATCCAACATGAGCTTGAGATATGACTTTACCAGAATCATCTCATAGTGTCAAGCTCCTTGGATAAGTAGGAGCCAGTCAAATTCTCTATACAACTTGGGCTCCTAAATGACATGATCTGCTTCTAAACAGTGCTGTTTTGCACTCCTCGTCCCTATGGTGGTTTTATTGCATGATTGTCATGTGATATAGAAGGTAGCCAGTGTCCAAAGCATTCAATTCCAGCTTCATATGCCTTGATCAAACTTCAAAGGGATGTGAACACCTGAGAAATGGCATATGCCTTCAATTTTTCTTCCAAATCTAGTGGATTAATCATATCTGGGAATGTTTTCACAAATATTTTTGCAGGCACTGCACTGACTGTCGCTCAAGCTTAGTTCTGAGCTGATTGTTTCTAGCTCTTTCATGCAATTTATAAAACACTGAATTAAATGTTCTGTAAAAATGTAACTAATTTCTGAAGATGAATCTCCTGGCCAGGAGCCAAAATAATTTTCTGGGCAATAATGTCAACACAAAAATCCCAGGAAGAGGGAAGTATGCCCAAATGTAGCAAACTGAACAGGATCGTAGGACCATCCAAACCTTGGGTCTAAGAACACCCTATAATGCCAGAGCAAGCTGCCTATTGCTTAATCCCAAAATTATTCAATTGTATATATCCAAGCAGATTTTAGACAACAGGGAAATTAATCTTTCATACACACATATAGGAAAGGTTTATAATTAACAACTTAACTGAACTGGAATATGCATGGCTACTTCTGGTATATTCTAGTGAATTGCAAATTTTGCAAAAGAATTTGAAAAAATATTAGTTTCAATACATGTGATACTTGATTAAATTAAATATACTCATAAAGTTTAATTGACCAATATACATTCAACTTTTCCAATTCCTTTTTATGCCAAGTGAAATTTGATGGCATCATCAGCATTTGTCTCGATAGCTGTTTTCTTGATTAAAAAGGCACAAACCATTTCTTGGTGTTGAGATATTTGGTTGTCAGCCTTCGTTTCATTTCTCAAAACTTGTGTGTGAAGGGAATCCTCTACACACAACTCCAAAATCATTTGCATTTTTTCAAAAATGGTTGATTTTAGAATCACTCAGTTCTACTTGTAAGGCTTTTTCAACAGAGCTTGTTTCAACTTTGATATATGAGTGTTGCTGATTTGTGTATTGACAAATACCCACATCTTACGACATTGCTCCTTGGGCAGACATAGGATTCACCTCTTCTTCAATATCATCCAGCATATAAGCTGCCTCACCCTCAATGCTTCTAATCAAATATATTGTGGCCTCATCATTGACCCAACCACAATTGCAGGACACTTATCAGAATTGGGTAAAGAACTCAAGACAAACTGCATTTCCAATCAAATTTTGAGCCTTCATTTCCCTTGTCTTTTTAGGCTTAGAATCATATTTTATTTGGGAATTTGAATTAGAATCTAGGTAACATCTAACATCGGACAATTAATAATACATTCCTTCTTTAAACTATACCAATGATTTATTATCAATATTGGCATGTTTTCCAATATTCATCTATTGAACGTTTCAATTGTTCTAAATCTGTGTCCTCGGTGTCTTTTTCTGTCTAGGTGAATGAATGGCCAAACTGTAGCTGTTGGTAACAGTTGCATTTGGCCAAAATGCAAGTTTTGATACATCTTGGTCTCTGAAATGCATGTGTAATAAGATAAGTGTACATCATTATTAAACAAGAAAGTGAATTTTAAAAAGAAAGTCTATATTAAAAATTTATAATTCAATTCTGAGAGTCAACTGGGATAAGGCAAACAATACAAACTACACTAATCCGTGTCTGTTTTTACCAAATTACAAAATTTCCAATGATCAAAGCATAGAAATTGATAATATAAGATCACCCATTGTACTGTTTGAATGCTTTACTTTTTAAATATCTTGTAGATTCTGGTGATGTGTACACACTTTATGTCCATTCAAGCATTGATAAATAGGGTGTCACTTGCATTTATAATCTTAATATCCCATAACAAATGTGAGGTGCTTTTCTTTATCCGAAAGATCAAACCATTTTTCTGTTTGTTTTATGTTCAATTAATGTGAACATAATGTACAGTACACAACTACAGGAGGAATGTTCCAATTTATTCTGATTGTCCCTTGCATCAATTTAATTCTGTCTTGCAAGTCTCATGATTGCCCTTAAAGCATTCTTGTACGGATGATTTTGATGATTTTAAATACTGACACTTAAGAGAGATCCCAATCTGTTAATGATAATTTAGGGAGGATAGCTGTGCATCTCTTGGTGAGACCAATACAAAGTAGAAGGTGATTATGTTCTTGTGTTTTTATGTTTTTGCCCGGAAGTCACTCAGCCTGTCTGCTTCATGGTTTATAATCTGCTCCTTATAGAAGTCATTAACTCCCATAATCCCCTTGCCATCTCCATCAGTTGTTGACTATTGGATGATATCATCTACTCAACAGGTCTTGGCTGAAGATTTCCCCATTAGCCTTTCCTTAAAAGGGGGTCACTTTTCTTTTGAGGCTGTACAACCTTCATGACCACCTGGATCTTTAACATTGAATCTACTGGCTCATATTTATGACCCTCTCCAGCATCACTTGTTGAAGAACAGCATCTATTTAAATCAAACTTTGAGTCATTGTTTCTACAGTTAATCCAAGGGCAGTGTCAATGTTTTATTTTTTTGTTTCGCAATGGCACCAAGTGTTACAGGCATTGTCCCTGTGTAACAGGCGTTGCTACTGGAATATTATACTTCACACGACAAATCCAGTTGGTTATATTAACTTTATTATATGATACAAAGATCAGCAATAGTAGCACACCAGACAGCAATCCTACGGGCATACAGTAATCAACCAGACAACCAAAATGGACACACCCAAACTCTTTTATCTCTTTTATACTATCCAACCACACTACCATATATTACTACTTCTCCAAAATATAGTTCCTGCCAAAATGAGCATTTTCTTTGTTTTTACCAAGATATTTCCTGGAACTTATCTCAAGGACTCTGGAAATACAGGACTACTTTTGGCATCAGGTCTGAAACTTCCTTGTTCCAAACACCTTGTCCTTAAAAAAAGTTCCAGATAAGTTCCAAAAATACTGGCAGGATCCAATTAACCAACATCAACAACATATGTATCACTCAAATGAAAGTATAAATGTAAAAACAACTCAAACTGTGTGTAATAAAATATCATATAAAATTCCTAACAAAAAGGTATTTTGTCTGTCTGTAACACTCTTCCCTTATTTCACAGAAGAATAGCATAACTTAAAAAATGAAATACCAGACAGACAAATAAAGTACAATCAATATTTCTCCAAATTTAGATGTAATATTTCTAAACAATATTCAATTTCAATAGACAATTTCAATTATGATATACATTATTCTATAATATACCTTATCCTATAACTTCTTATTCCACAGAACCAGATAAATATATCTAAACACTGTCTTAAAACAATTCAAGTTCAATTCAAGTTCAAATCAATACAATGGTTTTTTAATTAAATTACTTAATCATGACAGGTAAACCAAACTTCATTCAAACTCACACAACAACAT